AAATTTCCATGGTAGAAGCATTGACACTTCTCAATAATCATAAACTTTATCCAGGAACATGGGCTGCTGAGAAAATAGCTCAAGAATACCATTGAGAACAGAAAGATGTGAATTCCCTTTTGAAATATTTAGTTGAAGTCAAAATCTTCCCTCCTGAAGACAAGAAAACAATACAATCAAAATGAAGAAAATCACAAAAATTTCCTATGTGTGCTCCTCATCCCTCATCCTGTATGTTTTCTCATTTTTTGCATATTAAATTATGTTAATTACCAAGTGTTTAATGCTCTCATTGTGAGAGCATACTCTTAAAATTTATTGAGCTCCCTGACTTTTCAAGATTGCCATAGAATGTATTTTGTTTTCTTTTAATTTGGTTTAGGTATATCTCATATGTACATGTCAGCACGACTAATCAGCACATCTGTAACTTTATTATAAGTTAAAGTTAATTTGTTATTTTAGGCGCATCATACCAACTTTTAAATTGGTCATATGATGCCTTGGGAAATGTCTCGAATCCCTCATTTAAGTTTTACTTTCCAAGTTAAGTGTTTAGTTCATTCATATGTGATAGTGAAAGTAGAAGCTTTCCTGACTCTTAAGACTGACATTTTCTTGTCAGCAAAAGAGACTGGATAGCAAGGTAGACTCACACTATTTCTCAGAGAAAGGCACACAGTAGAAAATAATGAATCAATAGAATCTAATTAAAATTACTACTCCAGGGAATAAGAAATATTGAGGATTTATTTTGAATTGGTTTTAAGTATGGAATAATTAATTGTCTTTACAGTTATAAAATGTGATTGTGTTTACAAAATGTTGGGAATTTCTGCTTTGACAAACAGATAGGTAAGTCCCATGGCCTTCACAGAGGCAGGCAGAAGTAGAAACTTTCAAAAAAGTAACATTTATATGGATTTAGCATGGAAATAGAAAAATTTAAAGAATAATTGAATCAAAAAAAAACATGGTAAATGAAATTTGGTGATTATATATTGTTTCGGATGTTAACACTAGTTGAGAGAAGAGAGAAAAAATAGCAAGCAGAAGCAGAGAACAGGATCATTAGAAGGGACCTGAGAAATAGCCGTTTCATCAATTTTAGCAAACTTAGCACAGCATGTACCAGTACTAGGATCTTGAGTGAGGTGTGTGAGTTTAGCTCTGCCTAATATGTTACTACCTGTGGGATGTTTGGGAGACTATATCTTCTTTGAGATGGAATTTCTTTTATAAAAAGAGCTTAATGCTACCTTACTTAAATTTAAGGGTTATCATGAAGATAAGTGAAATAGTAAAGGACTACAAAGGACCAAGCAAATATGAATTATTTTTTGCAGTGGAGAAACAAGCACCTGGGGAGAATATATGACCTAAGGTTTCTATAGCTTATGATCTAACCAGGCCCGGAATTTAGTTTTTCAAATCCTAGTAGTGTGTTTTTTCTATTGTGCCAAAAAGTGGCACACCTCAGAGAAGGGAAAATGTGTGAATTGTGGGCATATTGGGGATAGCAGTGTGTTTCTGAGGGAAGATAGGCATCACTACTTCCCAGAGATGCCCCTGAAAATGATATAGAAGATGCTGAAGAATTCATCATGATGGCAGAATGAGGCATTTGTAGTAATGCTGAGAACAGAAGAATGAACTAAGTGGAAAATTTGTAAGCATGCTTTTGAATGTAGATTTGTTATGTGAACAAACTACTTAGTTTATTTTTAGTTCAATACAATAGTTGTTTTAAGAAAACATGAAATAACTACTCAATATAAAATGCATTTAAAAACTCTGTAAATCAGTCAAAACTTTATTCCCTTTATCCTAATGGTCACCAGTTGAGTCACTAATACTAGTACACTCTATTTCTGAGCCATCTTTATTCATGTCTACATTGTGTGGTTGGGCAGCTGTTACGTGGGGTCACATGATAAAATAAAGAACTTCTTCCCATACCGTTAAAAAACACACACACATTACTGTTACACAAAATCATTGGCAGAATTCGAAATAAAGAAAACAATGAAATAAAGGAGGAAAACCGCTTTTCAAACAGGTAGCATTTTTCATGTAAACTTCCAGTTCTGTCCACGTGAATCCACAAATGTTATGCAGTTAAGCATAGGTATAGATTTGGATTCTTTTTGCATCTATGTAGCAGGGTAGGTCAATGTTTGTTAGTTTGTTTATATTTAGAGACAGGATCTTGCTATGTTGCCCAGGCTGGAGTGCAGTGGTACCATCATAGCTTACTGCAGCCTCAAACTCCGGGGCTTAAGTGATCTTCCCACCTCAGCCTCCTCAGTGGCTGGGACTACAGGTACATGCCACTATTCCTGACAAATTTAATTTTTTTTTTTTTGTAGAGATTGGGTCTTACCATGTTGCCCAGGCTGGTCTTGAACTCGTGACCTCAAGCAATCCTTCCACCTCAACCTTCCAAAGCATTGATATTACAGGTGTGAACCGTATTGCCCAGTCTTAAAATATATTCCTAATTATTTTAGTAGCTGTGTAGTAATTTCTTGTTGAATGTACCAATGTACCATGATTCATGCCATTATTGTTACACATTCAGAGTATTGCAGCAATAACACATTTTAAAGCAATTCTGCAGAGATTATCTTTGACATTTTATTCTTTAAAAAATAATTCCATCTGGGTGCAGTGGCTCATGCCTGTAATCCCAGCACTGTGGGAGGCCAAGGCGGGTGGATTACCTGAGGTCAGGGGTTCGACACCAGCCTTGCTAACATGGTAAAACCCCATCTTTACTTAAAAAAAAAAAAAAAAAAAAATTAGCAGGGCATGGTGGTGGGCACGTGTAATCTCAGCTATTAAGGTGGTTGAGAACTGTATAAAATTAGTTCATTTTGGACTACTAAAAAAATTTCAAAACTTTAGAATTGGTTATTTTTGAACGAATGCAAAACAATATATTAGAGGCTGGGCACAGTGGCTCAGGCCTGTAATCCCAGCATTTTGGGAAGCTGAGGCAGGAGGATCACCTGAGGTCAGGAGTTTGAGACCAGCCTGGCCAACATGGTGAAACCTCATCTGTACTAAAAATACAAAAATTAGCCAGGTGTGGTGGTAGGTGCCTATAATCCCAGCTACCTGGGAGGCTGAAACAGGAGAATTGCTTGAACCTGGGAGACAGAGGTTGCAGTTAGCCAAGATCATGCTACTGCACTCCAGCCTGGGCAACAAAGAGCAAAACTCCCATCTAAAAAAAAAAGATTCCGCTCTTTTCTGTATTTACTGATGTTCCTAAACATTTTACATTTTGTTAAATTTAGGTTATCTCCCTATTAAAAAACTACAAGTGACAGTGATGACTCCTCTTGCTCAAAATTAAACCAAAATGAACATCAAACTAGGATTTATTGGGCCTCAGAAACAAGAAGATATAATTGATTCATTTGAACATCATAAAGAGGGAATGAAATAATAGTGAAAAAGCAGCCCAGAGACCAGAGTAACTTGTTTCTTTGATGTATCATTTACAGTAATAACCCAAAGGGGTGCCAAGGAGCTGCTACTCTTTGGCTAAGCTTTATTGTCCATTCAGACTTTGTCTCCATGTTTCCTTCCCCCTTCCTCCTGTATACAGAAGGTATACAAAACTAACATTACTTTCTTATACTATATTCCTTATACTAGGCATCTTGCTAAGTAAGCACTTTGCATATATTATTGTCTCTTTAAACCTTTCCAACAATCCTTATGGGGTAGAAAAATAGTATTTCCTTTTTAATTTCAAGAAGATATTCCATTAGTTCTTATTAGACATATCTAATAGTGAAAATATTTAAATATTTGGCCAGGTGCAGTGGCTCACGCCTGTTATCCCAGCACTTTGGGAGGCTGAGATGGGTGGGTCACCTGAGGTCAGGAGTTTGAGACCAGTCTGGCCAACATGGTGAAACCGTCACTACTAAAAATACAAAAATATAGCTGGGTGTGGTGGCGGGTGACTGTAAACCCTGTATACAAAAGGGGGAAGGAAACACAGAGACAAAGTATGCATATACATATAGAAATTCTGGAGCAGCAACTTACTCATGTATACAACTTGCCGAATCTCTCTAAATTATGCTACTACCCCTAGTATGTGGAGCATGTTGGCCCAAACTTCCTCAATCAGGAAACTTTGGAATGAATAGGTGTATTGCTAGCTGTCTTCACTTGGGTTTAATCTCAACATTTCAGAGCTGCAAAGTGCAATAGATTGAGAGTGTTATTAACAGATCTGAATTTTAATTTCAGTTTTGCTCCCGATGATCGCTGTGATCTTAGGCACATCACTTCACCTTTCATCATTCATTCACTTTATCTTACCTATTCATTAAAAGCCAATCTGCTTGCCCTTAGTTGCTTTCTAGTGGTATTGATGGTGGAGGTGGTGAGTCAGACAATAAATACATAAGCTAATAGAACTATGAAAGAAGGAAAAGTAAGTGATGCAGTGGGGATAATGTACTTTTTAAGATAGGGCATCTAGGATTTCTCGCGGTAAGTGAAAAATGAAGAGGTTTAACTAGATGCTAAGGGGTGTTGCACATTGAAAGGCACATGTTTCTGTCTTTTCACTTCTGTGTTCTGGGAAGGCCCACCAATGCCTCTAACCTGTAAATAAATGCAAATCTATTTAAATCAAGTGATACATCAACTTTATGTTGCTTGATTTGGAAATAATACATAAAAGAAGCAATAGCTAAACATTTTAGTGTTGTTTGGGGAGTAGCTGCTGGACTATAAACACCAAAACCGTAACTTAAAAAAAAAACAACAAAAAACCCAACAACGCTGCCCGAGACGGATCGGAAACTAAGGTGTTTGCAAGGCGCCAGGTTATGACACTGTTCCCAGACGTCCACAAGGCGCAAAAAGAAAATCTCACTAGTCAGCTTTGCACGTGCTCTGCGCTGGGTGCTCCTGCGTGTGCCTAGTCCCTCCCTGGCTGAGTCCAGGGAGGAGGAGCCAGAGGCGGGGCCGACTGGAAGCAGCCACCTCAGCGAAGCTGCAGGATTTCCGCAGGGCGGGAGTTGGTTATCTCCCGGAAGAAAACTGCTCCTGTCAGCGAAGTCTCCTGATTGCTCTGGGAGCTTTGCTTAGCCACTTCAAACTACAGAAGAAAGAAGCATCTAGCGAAATATGGCTACAGAGAGCCCAGCTACGCGTCGGGTCCAGGTGGCAGAACATCCCAGGTCGGGGAGAGGCGACGTCGGGCTTTGGGATATCCTGCGTTAGCTAGGTATAGATCGGGTCCACAGCATTTAGCTGCTCCCTTGGGGCACTGCTTTTGGTCCCGGAAAGTAGGTAGAACCCTTGGGATTCTGTAAGGACACGTAGCTGGGCTTGGAAAAAAATTACGCCGCAAACACATTCCACCTTGACTGCTACCAAGGGTTGTATGTTTTTTGCTTAATCCATGCAGATTTTCCTTTTCCTTTTCTTGCTGTAATTAGTGCTCTTTCTACTGGCCTTAAGGAGAAATGCCCAAATCAACTCTGAACCCCTCACATGCCAGTTGATTCTGCTTTTTAAAAGTCTTCTTTCTAAATATTCATTGAAAAAACCCACAAAAACTCTCTTGGTTTCTGCATCCCCTTTTTTAAAAAAGCACGAGAATCTCAACTGTCACTCAGGAATTAATTTGGGGGCAGTCCCTAGCTACAGCGTAACTAATAGTTTAGTAGTGTAGTGATCTTTTCAAGTACAAGTACTTTGTAGAAATACTTCTTTGTGACTAATAGGGCTGAAATCTCATAAAATGAAATCTCTCACCTGCTACATTAGCCAAGGGCTTTCCTGAGGTTGGCTTCTCTCTGCCTTTGCTGTTTTTAGCTGTTTTTCTGTTAACTTTTTTCTCTGACATCAAGTCCTTAAGCTCTTCTTACCTCGTGGTTTATTATCACCATGTGTCAGCTGATATTATACTTTACTACCACTTGAAGATATTCTGTCATCCTTAAACCAGCAGTGTGTCTTTAGTTGCCAGAAAGAGGCATAATTCCTTATTATAGAGTACAGCACAGCTTTGGACTACTTCTCAATGTCTTTGAATGTTTTAATGTACTTAAGAGTATCTTGCACAGCACTGTTGCCTTTATATGTTTGAATGAATTAAGACACACTGTTAAAGGCATGCTTCCAATAAGATTCATGAGAAATTTATTACATGAAAATAACCGGATCCCTTGTAGTTTCATTTTTTTTTTTTTTTTTTTTTTTTTTTTTTTTTTAGACAGAGTCTTGCTCTGTTGCCAGGCTGCAGTGCAGTGGTATGATCTCCGCTCCTAGTTTCAACCCATTCTCTTGCTTCAGCCTCTTGAGTAGCTGGGATTACAGGTGGGCACCACCACACCCAGCTATGTTTTGTATTTTTAGTAGAAATGGGTTTCGACATGTTGGCTGGGCTGGTCTCGAACTCCTGACCTCAGGCGATCCGCCTGTCTTGGCCTCCCAAAGTGCTGAGATTACAGGTGTGAGTCACTAAGCCTGGCCTGTAGTTTAGTCTTTTACATAAAACATATCCATGTGTAGATTCCTGATATGTTTCCATTTTACATGATTTTAATAATAAAGATCAACATTTCTATCTATATTTACCCTGTTTGGGGGAGGATGGTGGTAACAAGTATAGGTACATGTACTAAAAGTGAAGAATTGTTTACTGAATTTCCTTAGTGTTCCTTCTTGCTTTTTATGATTTTTATATTGTTCATTCATGTGACAAATATTTATTGTTAATATTTATTCTATGTTATCCACAAAGAGATCATAACAGTTAGATAAGGTCTTCCATTTTCTTGTTTTTCATTTGTGTGCAAAATGTAATTATTAGCTTCAAGCAATGTTTTATTTGCAGGAATCTTGCAGCCACTTAACTCATTTTAAAAGGGATGTATTTTGTTAAATCTAAATAGTATAATCTGTAAATTCACCTAACCAGTCAAATATTGCAATATGCTGAGAAGGAAAAAAACAAAGACCACATGGTCAGCCTGCCTGTGGAACTCTGTTTTTGTTTTTTGTTTTTGTCTTTTTCAGGATGCCTCTTCAACCTTATAGGACACACGATCCTTTGATTAAAAAAACTAGTTAACCATATTATATGTTTTAGTAAAACATAGTTTATTATTTTTATGTAAAAATCAAATGGAAATCAAAGTTCTAATATTTTATTTCTGTATCCCACTCTTGCATGGTACCTGTACTGTAAGACTCTAAATTTCACTGTTCTAGTTTCGTTTGCATTCTTAGCACTTGTTCTCTTATCTTACTTTCTCTTTGGGATTTTTTATTTTTATTTTTATTTTGTATTTTTAGTGGAGACGGGGTTTCACCATGTTGACCAGTATGGTCTCGATCTCTTGCCCTCGTGATCTACCCGCCTTGGCCTCCCAAAGTGCTGGGATTACAGGCTTGAGCCATCGCGCCCGGCCAAGGGATTAAGTTTTTAAATTGTTGGATTATTATTATTTTTATAGCAGTTTTATTGACATTCATATATCATATAACTAACTCATTTAAAGTTTGCAATTAAATGGCTTTTAGTATATTCATAGAGCTGTGCAACCATCACCGTAATCAAATTTTGAACGTTTTCTTCTCAGAAAGAATCCAGCCATTCCTTAAATTAGCACACCCCAGAACTCCATTGCCTTTCCCCTAGCCTTAAACAACTACTCATCTGTTTTCTGTATTTATAGATTAGTCACTTTGGATATTTCAAATAAATGGAATCACATAAAATATGGGTTTTTTTTTTTTTTTTTTTTGGTGACTTGTTTCTTCCATGTGGCATAATGTTCTGAAGGTTCGTGTATCAGTGTATCATTTAACATGTATCAATACGTCATTCCTTTTTATGGTCAAATAATATTCTAGTTAATGGATTTACATTTTGTTTCTATATTCAATAATTGATGGACATTTGGATTGCTTCTACCTTTTGGCTCTTATGAATTATGCTGCTGTATGAGCACATTCTTGAGCCTCTGTTCTACTAGTTAAGCTAGGACGGTGGCACTGAATACATTCTTAATGTTAAAAATTTGGATTACTGAGAAGTATAATCAGTAAAGCCTGAAAATCCTGCAGTTTCTTTCCTCACGATTGTCTCTTATTTCTACCCTGGGCTGCCAATTTCTACTTTCCTTCTTAGAAGTTATCCATTTGGTTTGTATCCTCATAATATCATTGTATCCTTATATCATTGTTACTGTATTTATAAAAATGATATAGTCACATAAGTCCAATAATTATATTTGTTGTTTTTTACTTACTTTTTTTTCACTTAATCTTTTTCAGATACCCTGGCATATCAGTTCATCCAGACATATTTCACTATTTTTATTTATTTAATTTTTTTTTTTTTTGAAATTGAGTCTCACTCTGTCACCCAGGGGCTGGAGTGCAGTGGCACGATCTTGGCTCACTGCAGCCTCTGCCTCCTGGATTCAAGAGATTCTCTTGTCTCAGCCTTCCAAGTAGTTGGGATCACAGGCATGTGCCACCATGCCTGGCTAATTTTTGTATTTTTAGTAGAGATGGGGTTTCACCATGTTGGCCAGGCTCGTCTCAAACTCCTGACCTCAAGGGATCCACCTGCCTTGGCCTCCCTGGGATTACAGGCTTAGCCACTATGCCCCACTACGTTTTTAAGGGCTGAGAGTATTTTCTAATATGAATACCATTATTTATTTAATCATTCAACATTTAGTACACTTAGATTTCAAATTTTTCTCTCTTGTAAATGATGCTGCAACAAACATCCTTCTCTCTATATACATACATACATACATATGTATGTATATATTCTCTGAGCATTTCTGTGAATTTTTTAAAGCTTATTCATGAAAGTGGAAGCAGAATTAAAGGTAATAAACGTTTAAAATTTTGATAGCTTCTGCCAAATGACCCTGCAAAAAAGATGTTATTGGATTGTCTAATTCTAGTTTTATTTATTTATTTATTTCTTAAGATGGAGTCTTACTCTTTTGCCCAGGCTGGAGTGTAGTGGCACCATCTGTGCTCACTGCAACCTCTGACACCTGGGTTCAAGTGATTCTTCTGTCTCAGCCTCCCAAGTAGCTGGGATTACAGGTGTGCACCACCATGCCCAGCTAATTTTTGTATTTTTAGTAGATACCAGGTTTCACTATGTTGGCCAGGCTGGTCTCGAACTCGTGACCTCATGATCTGCCTGCCTCCACCTCCCAAAGTGCTGGGATTACAGGTGTGAGCCACAGCACCCAGCCTATTTCTTGTTATTTTTGGAAACTCTTTTTATATGTTTGTATTTGTGTATGTATATGTATTTTTAATAGAAACCATTTATTCTATATATTATAAATGTAATTTCTAGTTTAACTTCATGATATCTTTTGTTGTGTAGATATTTTATAATTTTTTTTCTTTTTTAAGACGGTGTCTTGCACTGTTGCTGAGGCTGGAGAGCAACGGTATGATCTTGGCTCACTGCAACCTCTGCTTCCCGGGTTCCGACGATTCTCCTGCCTCAGCCTCCCAAGTAGCTGCGATTACAGGTGCACACCACCATACCCAGCTAATTTTTTGTATTTTCTTAATAGAGATGGGGTTTCACTATGTTGGCCAGACTGGTCTCAAATTCTTGACCTTGTGATCCACTTGCCTTGGACTTTCAAAGTGTTAGGATTACAGGTGTGAGCCACTGTGCCCGGCTGACATTTTATAATTTAAGCAGTGTAGTTGTTGAATAATAATGATAACATCTTTGTCTTCATCGTTATTTTAATGTGTCAATACAAATGACCACCAGGATGGCTAGATAGTAGAAAGGACAGCTTTATTGGCAGTATCAGTTTGCAGACCAGGAAGAGAGAGTCTCCAGTGTGGACTGAAGGTGCTCTACCTTTGAGTAGGGAAGGAGAAGTTTGGGTTTTATGTCCCACAGAGTTTGTATTATACAATAGAGTCATACATATTCAGCAGGTTTTAGGGAAAAGCTATACATATTTATGAGAGGAGCCAAGCACATGTGCAGGGGTAAGCATATATGTAACATATATCCCATGTTCACGTTGTGTCAGGTTTTATCATGAAAATAAGGTGGAATTTGGCTCTTTGCATCAAAACGTAAGCTATGGGGCACAAAGACAATTAGTGCACAGCCTCTCTAGGTTGGCTGAAACTGAAGGTCTGCAGTTGTTTATCAGAA